TTTTAACTGTTCAAGTCATAGTATAACAATTTTGTGAGTCATAAAGACGGTAAAATCTCAAGATGTACGCACAATTATAAGTGCGTAAATATATAAATGTATGTATGTATATATATACACACATATTTTAAGTAAAGTATTAAAATCACTATTCACAGTTTCTAGAAAACACTGTCCAGAAAATACACTGCAATTAGTCAAAAACTTGATCGTTAAATTAAAATAAAAATACATTGTTCTAATATGAAGAGAGGGGATACGAATCAATACTATGTATATAAACTTATATGAACGTTATGTACATAACGACTGAGACGATCGCACAATGAGAAAAATAAATATATAATGCGAGTATGTAAACTATTAAAATTAATTATTAATGAATTACGAATAAATTGATGTTTAAATAAATATTAATGGACGATGAGATGATGATTGTGTGCATTTTAAAGTTATCATAATCATAAAGTATTAAGGAATCAACTGAACAAGACCCATAAATATATATGTATATGGAAAAAGTGAAAACGCCAATTGTAACATTGTATGTGTATTTATGTGTGATCTACGCTCTGACTGTATATGGTTAAGGTCGGTTAAGTGATATTTCTTTGGATCTTTGTTGTGTAATTATCTGAGTAAAAAGGTAATACTATACCTTTCCCAATATGCGAGCTAATAGAAATAAGGATGCCGATTAGTATATTTGCAGAGTATCAAAAACATTGTAACTATTTTAAGCAACTGCTATACGAAAGCGTAGATACTTTTAGATGTAATAATTATATACGATACTCATGTTCATTATCAGAGACAAATTTTCACTATACGTGTATCTCTGAAATTTGTACTGAGATTTTCTATATGTTGTATCATCTAATAATAGAACAACTTATCTGTATCTATGATAATGAACTTCATGTTTTTTACGCCGCTTATTATTTAACATGCAGTGTGTAATCGGTCGAACTTATTATTATTGTCCTCTTCTATTTTACATTATATAAGCATGAGTAAAGCGTAGATCGGAAAGAATATATGTTGGAAGCATATTACAATGCTGCAATATCATTTTAATGCAGCGTGTGATGTTTGCTTTATAGCAGTGTAACAAATTTCTACACACAGAAAAACACATACCGCATTCTAGTAAATGTTATTTGTTTCAAGTATTTTAAAAATATTCCTTGTTAAAGATAACCATTACTTAAAAGGAATATCAACTAAGTGATCACTTTTTTATCAGTGGAATGGTATTTTTCTGTGTGTCGAGTATATATCCATATTTCTTAACTGTTCGAGTCATAGTACAATAATTTGGTGAGTCATAAAAACGGTAAAATCTCAAAAATTTCAAGTGTCAAGCCTATATATACCCGAAAATCTATCACTAAGTACATTACAAGCATCAAATTTATTCGAAATACATTCTGACTTCTAGTAAGTTTAGCATTCCAATCAAGAATATTAAATTACAGCAAAAATTCGCTTTTCTTAATACAGAGACAACTTTTTTCCAATAAAATTTTCTCGGGAATATTTTTAAGATATTCTTGTAAAAAAAATAAATTCTTATTTTGAGTACATAATAATGAGTTTTTATAAAATTTGTGATAACTATATTTTAAAACTATTCTCATATCAAGAAGATATTCTGTGTTAAAGATAATCATTACTTAAAAGGAAAGTCAACTAAGTAATCACTTTTTTTAGTGGAATAATATTTTTCTGTGTGTTGAGTATATATCTATATCTTTTAACTGTTCGAAGTACAATAGTTTGGTTCATATATTAACTGTTCATAGTATATGTATAATAATTTGGTGAGTCATAAAGACAGTAAAATCTCAAGAATACCAGGTGTCAAGTTAAAACAACGATTAGAATAATAATAAATAATCTGTAAACTACAAACAGCTACAAGTCCTAGAAAATATTTCTAATTGTTACAGATTTGTTTCTATATTTGTATCTTTTTATATTAAGAATGTATTATTTCCAAAATGTGGGCATAATATTGGTAAAATTAATAATTTTCCCTACAAAATATATTAAATCAAGATTAAACGCAAATTGTCAAACTCCCTGTGTGTGTGTGTGTGTGTGTGTGTGTGTGTGTGTGCGTGTGCGTGTGTGTGTGTGTGTGTGTGCGTGTGTGTGTGTGTGTGTGTA